TTTTGCATGTTATTAGTCTATATTTTCTGGTGCATTATTTAATTAAAAACCTTTTTTAACTGCGTTACTATAATTACTATAAAAAATCAGGCTTAACTCTAGTTGACAATCGAGGGCAAGAAAAAAGATTAGGTAAGTACTTTATTTCTTGTTTTTCATATTTATTCTTTATTTATTATTAAAAAAGTAATTAAAAGAATGAATCTTTTTAAGTTATTTAAGACAAGATAAGGTAAAATAAGTAATAATGATATAATTAAAATGGTTGATGATGCATGCATGCGAGGAGCTCATGGGTAATTCGATAGCATAATGTGAGCTGCACGTTCCCCGAGTGATTTACAACTTATAATGGCATGGATAGTAGTTACACTGTTCAAAGGGCAATAAAACAATAAAATGTAATTAGATTTATATATATTCTGAGTTAATGAAAAGTATTTTTATTTTAACATAAATTACTTTGTACATGAACTATTCAAAACAAATATTCAATATACTCATGGACAAATTTTTATTTTATTAAAAATACTTCAGTAAGAAATATTACTTTTTTTTCTTTTTTTTTTGTATATAAAAGACTTGTAATATTAACTGAAAGACTACCTAATTTCATGAAGATATGCCCAATATGTTGAAAGTTCTAAGTATTAAATTTATAAAGACTTTAAAATAAGTACAAAAGGTCACGTGACTCAATCAAATTGACCTACTCCGTGTTGAGAGAGTTAATCCAGCATAAGAAAGTACAAATGCTGGTTAACTATAGAAATTGCCCAGCTTTGAATTTTGTTAGGTGTTACTTTTTTCCTTCTTCAAAAATTGCTTAACATTTCATATTTTTAGGTAGAATGCCAGAAAATTGTGATAGTTATAAGACAGTTAGTTTTCTTGTATGTTCTTTGGTGCATTATTTAGTTAAATAAAAATATTTAGTGCAGTAGTACCATTAGTATTAAAAAAAAAAAAAAAAGTGTTAAGCTTCATTGACATTTGACAGCAAAAAAAAAAAAAAAAGACCCAGGTAACTACTATATTTCTTGTTTTAAATGTGTATTCTTTATATATTATAAAAGTAACTAAAATGTAAATATTCTAAGCTTTTTAGATTAAATTAGGTAAAATAAATAATAAATTTTCACGAGGTATGCTTGAGACAGATAATTCGATGGTATAACGTGAGCTACATGTTCAAGTGATTTACCACTTGTGTGGTGCATATGTTAGTTAAGACACCACTCAAATGGCAATAAAACAAAATTTAAGTATAAACAGATGTACACTGCTACAAGTTTACAGCTATTTAGGTTAAATGAAATTTCTTGTTACAGTTTGAAGAGAAAATAAGATTTATTTCATATTTTTTATTGTGCGTTACAAGGTTGATCAAATTGAACAACCTGGCATAGAATTAGGGTAGAGAAAATACCAAATAAAATATAAAGTTTTGCAGAAAAAAAACGTTTTAAATTTATTTGGGAGGTTTTAAGAGATTATGCAAACGAAATGGGATTTTTCACGTGAAGAAAAGTATTTTCAGTCTTAACATGAAAATTAGTTTGTACTTGGATCAGTCAGCACTTTGACTACATAGTTTCATGGAGAAATTTTTAGTGAAAATACTTCATTAAAAATTGACTTTTTGTCTACAAATGACTTATTGCTTACTGAAATTTTGTGAAGATACACTAAACATTAGAAGTTGTATTATGGAAACTAAAGGTCAGTTTGGGATAAATTTTTAGGTCAGATCGACCGAGCCATAATGAAAGAGTTAAATGGTATAATTTACATTGTTACAGCTTTGCTAGTGCAGTCATATTTTTTTGCACATCTATAATATAAATGTTGTGTTGTAAGTGTAATTATAATTGTACACACACATATACACATGGGCATATTATTGTGATGGTAACTATCATAATTTTTATTGTTTTGTTTTTTGCACTTTTTTAAAAAAAGATTATGTACATATTCATATCTGTTGATTAAGACCAGAATATTTGGTACTTTTTGTTGTTTTTTTCAGTTGTCTATAACTATCAGTAACAGATCAAATTTAAATATTCAGGTTTGTAGGAAAATTTATACCACACAATGAACGGGAAAAGCAAATGGGTGAAAAGGCTCGTAGGTTCACAAATGTCTATGTGAAAAACTTTGGAGATGACCTGGATGATGAAAAGCTGAGAGAGTTTTTTGAGAAGTACGGGAAGATCACGAGTGCAAAGGTAAATGTATGAGTACCTGTGTCTCAATTCTAGTGAGTGGTTCAAGTCCCACACTCTATATTCCTTTGTTTAATGGTTGTTTTGAACTACAAAGTAATTTTGTTTGTTTGTTTGTTGTTGTACAAAAATCTTTGCCATGAGGTAAATTAAGTTAACAGTTTTTGGAATTTTGTTTTTCAAAACTATCATTCAATTTTCACACAAAAATCATGTTAATATAAATCCAGTATGAGCAACAAGAAAATTTTATCAGAGCTACTTAAAAAATAATGGTAATAAAAACCTATGCTTCTAAGTAATTGGGAACTATTTCTCAAAGTATTTGTGTTCAACCTTATTCTGGTATTACTGGTTTATACTTCAAAATTATGTAAACAACTTGGCATTCATTCCTTGTCATGAAGTTCAGTATCTTCCCTATTCAGTGGTTTCTAGCTAGAAAGCATGTATTTTGAAACCTGAGATACGAGTTCAGTCACAGATCACAACTTTGTTCCTACCTGTAGAAGAAATGTAAATTTTTTTTATTTTTTTTTGTAATTCTACATAATTTATTAGCAGACACAAATGCAAGAAAGAAAATACATAGTATATAATACAGAACACTAAAAAATTCGGTTTCTGACATTTTTCCAAATTAACCTAAACCATTGTATGATGTTCTGATGTCACTGCACAATTATCTGACACAAAATTATTGAGATACTATATATTTAATATAGTTGGGCAATTTTTGAACTCTGAATGTCCTGACAATAACACTGGTAGTAAAAGTTTACAAGTAGCTTTTCCAAAACCTTACTGTATTGGAAACCTGAATAACTTCCTTTATTTTTTATACTCTAATAATAACAAGTATTTAAAGTAATACTTGTAGCTTAATTTTATTAAACGGTCTTTTCATATACGTGTGTTTGTATGATGAATCTATAAAACTGTTCAATTCCATCATTGTTCATATCTTACAAAGTATAAGATTTTTCCTTGTGACAACTAGCCAAGTTGTTAGTCTATAACCTTAGAACCACGTATTTCTGGCCTAGTTGTTAGTCTTTAACCTTAGAAGCACGTATTACTGGTCTAGTAGTTAGTCTTTAACCTTAGAAGCACGTATTACTGGTCTAGTAGTTAGTCTTTGACCTTAGAAGCGCGTGTTGCTAGTCTAGTTGTTAGTCTTTAACCTTAGAAGCACGTGTTTCTGGCCTAGTTGTTAGTCTTTAACCTAAGAAGCACGTGTTGCTAGCCTAGTTGTTAGTCTTTAACCTAAGAAGCACGTGTAGCTAGCCTAGTTGTTAGTCTTTAACCTTAGAAGCACGTGTAGCTAGCCTAGTTATCTACACATTTAAAATTATCTTGTTTGTTAATTTGCCGAACCTATTAAGGTTTTTCTAGTTGTGATTTGAGTTACATAAAGCTTTATTATAACATTCTGACTTGGTGTGTTAGATTTTGAAGGGGTTACTTCCCTCCTTTTACATTTGTCTCTGTGATTTAGTTTTTGCACTTGAACTTTCCTATTTTATGAAATGTCTGTTAATAACAGAAAATGATTATTGAAGTTGAATTAGGTTATTCAAAAGTTTGTGTATTTGGAACTTAGTTAACTGGGCAAAGATACTTTTAAAATTCTCCATGTTTTCCATTCCCTAATTAACAGGTAATGTCAGACAATGAAGGAAAATCAAGAGGCTTTGGTTTTGTAAGTTTTGAAGATCCAGAGAGTGCTGAAAGGGTGAGTTATAATTTTTGCTAAGCTATTCTAAAGCATGACGATGAAGTTGTGTTTTAGATTGTATAAGTTCTAAAAATTCTCAACAAAAATACAATGTGCATATATTTTAAGTTTTATCGGGTAGCTTGAATAAAAATCCATATACTTTGAGTATAAAAAAAAGTCTTGTTAAAATGAGTGTTGTAACCAATGTTTCAACCCAGTTAAGCAGGCTTAGTCTGAAAAATACAAGTGTGTTCCTAGCTACAAAGTTGGGATTCATACATGTTCAAGACCTTTATTTGACATGTTACTCCAAGTTCATGGAAGTTTCTTGGTTTGGTATTGTTGAGAAAGACCAAACTAGACATTTAGATGTACAAAGACTGTACTGCTTACCCCTTTGTTTTAAAAGTTATTAAGAACGGTACATTGGTGTGTTAAATTAACTTTTTTTTTCTTTTGACCTTTTAAGGCAGTTGATGATATGAATACCAAGGAAATGAACGGCAGGCTTCTTCATGTGGGACGAGCTCAAAAGAAAACGGAGCGTCAGGCAGAACTAAAGCGAAAGTTTGAGCAGCTCAAGATTGAACGTATTACACGATATCAGGGTGTCAATCTGTACGTGAAAAACCTTGATGATGTGATTGATGATGCTCGGTTAAGGAATGAGTTTGCTCCATATGGAACAATCACGAGTGCAAAGGTACGGTTAACCTTAAGGAAAAATAGTAAAAGAACACTTATTGAATGAGAATACTGGCATCTTAGAATAATAATTGATTTTAGCATAATTCTAGTTAACCACTGATCTACAGATTGATTTGTATTTGATTAGGTACCTTGAAATAGATGTTTGTGAGTGCTGCCCTTGCGTGTTGTTGTTTTTTTATGTTTTATTATTGGTATTCTTATAGAATACTTGTCTTTCAGGTCATGACAGACAGCAATGGTCGCTCCAAAGGTTTTGGATTTGTGTGCTTCAGTTCACCAGAGGAAGCTACAAAAGCTGTGACTGAAATGAATGGTCGTATTGTCGTTTCCAAGCCCCTGTATGTGGCATTAGCTCAGAGAAAGGAGGACCGCAAGGCTCACTTGGCCTCGCAATACATGCAGAGAATGGCTGGCATGCGAATGCAGGTAATTCTAGTGCTGAATTAGAGAGCATGACTTAATATTGCTTTTATTTAAAACAAAGCTGATAGTATAATAAAGGTGTTAAAATTAAAAGTGTTAAAAAATCCTTACTGTACTTTTAATGTTATTACATAAATAAATTTAAATATTACACGTTATAAACTTAATACAGCACACATCGGAACAGTCGCTATCAAGCAGTTTGTGAATATTAATAGTGTCAACCACAACTATGTCTTGTGTATCTCAGCTGACCTGAAATGCACTGGTATTGGACAAAAGGTCTTGTTGGTTCTAGGTATAGCAGATGTGCTTTGGTTGTGATATTACTATACATTCTTTTTATATTCACTCAGAAGTTAACAAGTCTGTTTGTAATTTGTAGTGCTTTTCAAGATGAATATTTATAGTTGGTACGTAACAAGTTTTTATTTTTATATGTGCTGGGTTGTTTTTAAAAAAACTTAACATCTGTGTATTGTTGCTTCTTTAATTATGCTGGGTAGTTTTTGGAAAAATAAGTTCGGAGATATTTAGCAAATTCTGTTCTTAATATCTGTTGTCTTTTATAAAAGTGGTTACTGTCATGGAACACCTGTGGTAGAGTACCCAATGGCCATGGAAAAGCCAGGACATTTGTATATGTACTGTCTTAATGTATCCTAAGAAACTTTTGTAGCAGCTTGTATGAGTGCCATAGAAGTTTAACTGTGGATGTACTTTGTATGTTAAACAGTAGGTTATTGAACAGTATCAAATGGTAAATATGATACAATCCCTTTCTAGCTTGGGCAGATGTTCCAACCAGGAGGAGCAGGATATTTTGTACCTACCATGCATCAGGCTCAGCGTGGCTACTTCCCCGCTCAGATGCCTCAAATGCGAGGCACTCCTCGCTGGCCAGGCCAACCAGCAATCCGCCACGGTGGTCAGCCAAGTGCAGGTTTGTGACTATTAGGCCTAGGTGGTTTTATTGAATTTCCAAAAATGAACTTAGATTATGTGAAATAAGATATTTTTTTAAAATACTAGATATTCTATTTAAAAAAAGCAGACTTAAAAAAATTGAAAATATTTAAATTTATCATTTAATTTGTTAACAGGTATATTGTGATTTAGGCCGAGAATTTTATGTCGTTAATAATCATAATGATATAAGTTAAACACCCATACTTGCTTTGCTTCAATAGCATGGGTAACAATATAAATGTAGCGGTGTACTGTATGTATTGTGTTAAAGCTGAGAAACTGTGTCCTAATGCTGTGACTAGGGTTCTTAATATTTTTGACTTTTTCTCCAGAGTTGATTTATGGTTTTAATATGTGAATAGTAGAAGAATGATTCTATATACATGAAGTATGGAACATTGTGATATTAAATTGTCCGTATTACTTTAACCATTTAACAATCACCTGCTTTTTAAACTCCTTACTGCACATGTCACTGAGCTACATTCAAAATATAATCAAACCACTTTACTGTCAATGTAATTTAATGAAATTATAGTTTAACGTTTTATATCACCTTAGTTTTTTTCCCCTTTATTGTAAAAGAAATATTGAAAGCAGTAATGTAACTTCTCTGGTTTGTGTGTCGTGCTGTATGAGCTATAAACAGTGTATTTGTTGAAGCATAAGGGGATACATGTAAGTTTAGACTATAATGTAGTTACAGTCTCTATTTGTTGAAGTATAGCTTGAAGCCTGAGGGGGGGATACATGTAAGTTTAGAATGTAGTTAGTCTCTATTTGTTGAAGTATAGCTTGAAGCCTGAGGGGATACATGTAAGTTTAGACTAGAATGTAGTTACAGTCTATTTGTTGAAGTATAGCTTGAAGCCTGAGTGGATACATCTAAGTTTAGACTAGAATGTAGTTAGTCTATTTGTTAAGTATAGCTTGAAGCATAAGGGGATACATGTAAGATTCTACTACAATGTAGTTTACAAGTACTTTCATTGAATGCAGTTGAAAATAAATTTTGTCAACCCCTGACAGGTGCCATACTCACTTCAATAGTTAGTATTTAGATTTAGAAGTTACATGTACATGTTTATAGTCAATAGAAAGAGCATGTTTTATACGTTGTTGTCCTTAGGTGGATGTGACTACTTGTACTATTATTGGCTGTTTTGTTCACGATAACACTTCAGTTGTTTCTTACCTAAATATGTTATAATTCGAGAGACAATGAAATTGTATTTAGGTTTTATTTTTATGTTTTAGCTAATTATGCATTACTTGTATTGTACAATACATATCTGAAAGGTTTAATAATTTTTATATAATAATCAAAGCTTAAATAATCAACAGTAAAGAAAAGAAAATAAAACATTATAAATAAAGTAAGAGAAAAGGTAAAGAAATAATTTAATGTGATCCAAATGGCTACTAGTTAAATTTATAGTGTCTCAAAATACTAAAAACCTTGTATATTTAATACAATTGTCTATTTTGCAGCATTCCAGGGAGTTCACTCTGTTCCCTTCCCTCGACAGTCAAGACCTCCGGGAGGAGCACAACCTGCAATACGAAGTGGAATGAGTGCCCGGCCAATTACAGGTCAGCAGGGAACAGCCCCGGGTCGAGTAGCAGGAATGCATCCATCTGGTGTACCTGGAGCTGGTCCAGCAACCATCCCAGGGGCTAATGTGAACCACCCTCGACCCGCTACCTTCAAATACACAGCCAACATCCGTAACCCCCATCAACCAGTGCCTGTAGGTCAGCCAACTGTCCAGCAGGTAAACACAGTGGTAAAGTGAAGTATAACAGTAAGATCTTTCTTTGACAGTGTGGTTGAAGCAACTTTTATGTTCTATACTTGTAGATAATGCTATCTGAAACATGGACATTTCAAGCTTACCTGCTAACTCTTATTTCTTTACAAGGAATTAGAAAAAATCTATCCGACATAGCTATATAAAATGCCATTATACTATACACCTTTAACCATTGGCTTAAAAGCCAGGTTTTGTACAATTTATTCTATATACTTTACAGATTCTATGACTAGGTTCATTAGTATCTCTCTTTTTTTTTTTTCACTAAATAATTTGTAAAATCATGTAATTTTTTCTTAAATCTATTTCAACAGATGTGCACATTTTTTGATGGCATCAAATTACAGTCATAGGCCTTAATGATGTTGTGTGCTAGTTCACTTTGTTGGAAAAATTTTGCAATATATAAATTAAAATTGAGTAAACTACAGATGTTTTCTCCAGCATTCCTCTTAATTTGTTCTTTTCATCTTGGTTAGATTTATTTTGTAGGTGGATTGAAGTTCTGAAAACTTAATGTTGTCAGTACTCTCATTTGAAAGAAAGATACTGCATTGGAAAGTATTAATTTGTTGATGTTTTAAGAAATACCAGTCACATTATTAATGTAGATTTCATTCACTGATACTCTGGGAACTAGTCTGTTTGTTTCATAATAGGCAAGACAAGTCATTGGATCGTATTGTTGAGAAATGGGACTTTTTTTTTTATATATTACCTTTTAAGTTGTTCTTGAAGTCTTTGAGTATTAAGGACATTTATGTTGATGGGACATGAGATTTGTAATTGTGAAAATGTCTGAAACCACCAGGATCTTAACTGTTTAATCATATTGAAATTAATGAGTTTTATATTAAGGTCAATATGCAATTGGAAGATAATTGTAGTAGTGTAGAGTCTTATGAATAATTTATCTTGTGATTTTTCATTCTTATGGTAATGATGGCTTATGTTATGAAATAAGGCACATCAATTCATTGTATCGTGTTTATTTAGCTAGAAGGAAAAGTTGTGACGATAAGAAACAAAAGGGATTTAATGTTGTCTTTATTTACTAAACTGATTATTGCGTGTCTATTTCAGGTACCGCAGCAAGCTGTACACATTCAAGGACAGGAACCACTGACTGCTTCTATGTTGGCAGAGGCTAACCCTCAGGAACAGAAACAGATGCTAGGAGAACGTCTTTTCCCACTTATTCATCGTATGTACCCAGAATTGGCTGGCAAGATCACTGGCATGCTGCTTGAGATTGACAACACTGAATTACTGCACATGTTGGAACACCATGAATCTCTGAAAGCTAAAGTAAGTTAAATATAAAGTTGTATTTCTGTGGGTGAGAACATTCACTTAAGTATAAGCAAATGTTAATAAATACTGTTCTAATCATGTGCTATTCCCAACAAGTAAACGGTTTAAATACTTTAATCCTTTCCAAACTGTAGGTTTCACTGATATCTCCTTTTCATTTTTTATAGTGCATATATTTAAATAAACAAGTTGCATGAAATTTGATGCAAACTTTCTAAGTAGTATCTAGTTTCAACAGGAAAAAAAAAACAATTTAGTTATGTCTGTCATTGTTCTTAGGATGTGAAATGTCCAAATTTTGGTTTGGAATACTTTTCAAAAAACAACAACAAACAAATTGTGATTTGATTGTTCTATTTTATATATTTAACTGTGTGAATTATTTTGATACTGTAATTTTGCTGATTAAGGCTGTCAACGATCCATTGTAAATCGTGCAGACACTGTATGACTGACAAATATTAAACTGAAAAATTATCACCTCTTTGATAATGCCAACACTATTACCTTTACCAAGTTTGGTTGCATAATTATTTACCAACAATATTTTTGGCACAGATCATATATTTAAAAATTGTACTTTCATTAAACCAGTTCTTGTGTTAAGTTATTCAATAAAACATTTTTGTGCAGATACTTTGCTGTAACTCACTTTATTAGTTAAACTTCTTATTATCTTAGAACATCCCTGTAGCTTTTGAACAGACGTAACACAAAAACAGGATTAGGAATGAAAAGCTAATCATCGGGAACTACATTAATATTTAAAAAATCTCCGGTAACATGAGAGGCTTGGGTAATATCTTAAGCTTATCCCGAGGTTCATTCATCCTTTATTAATTCAAATTGTTTGTTTGTCTGCAAACTTCTACTTATGGAGCTGACAGCTGTAGTGGGGATGTTCCTACCTATATGGTATAGCTCCCTAATAAGAGGGTATTAAAAGGGGGTCTGGGAGGTTTTTTGGGGCCTCTAATTTTGGCACCATATTTTGTATTCATGTCCTTAGAATCCTAGGACATAATGTTTGTACCTGTGTTCATATCATTTACTTGCAAGCTAGCAGGACCAAATGTGCTCAATTGCCACATGTGATTGTACACATTAGCTATAGAAGTAATTGGAGATAATGGAGGAGCCTGAATCCTGCAACAGAATGGGAGTATCTTATGCTGCTAGTATTATAATACTCATTTTCTGACCATTAAATATATTTGTTTTGGCTTATCCATGATTTGGACTATCTGCACTTTGGTAGTTTTTGTCTAGGCCTATATCTTTTTTATATCATTAAATTGTCATCATGACATGCCATATGAACCTTTATTTCTGTAACCAGTTGAGGTAACAAAAATTCATTAATGTATTAACCAGTCACCTGTTTTCTTTTGCATGTGTGTGATGTAGGACATTGTACAATTTTACATTAGGAGAATATGGTTTTAGATGATTAGTTAGCAGTAATTTGTGTTTTTGTTTACAACACTAAGACTAAGCTAGGCAGGCAACAAGCTAGTCGTACTTTGTATGTGTTGCCTAGGAGCTGTGACAGTCTGTTCCCAGCCACAGTGTTGGAAAACATCCCTGTCCCAAAGTTTGACATTAAACTTGAGTGGATAGATACCTGATATATTCTATCAACTTCACAGAGACTTGTATGTATAAGACAGTGTAGAAAGACCATACTAGGTACATGATTCCTCATATTTCTTAAAAAGTTAATCTGTATGTGCTGGGAAAGCCATAGACAGAAGTATACTTAAATATATTTTGTATTAAGGGCTTGCTGTACAGGTGGGTTCAGAATGATACAGTTGCATAATCCTGATCATATTTTTATCCTAAACAATTGTTGAGTTATCTTGGTAAGGCACAGGGTCTTAGTGTTTGTGATAGGTAAGGAATTAAATGTTTTTTTGTTTTTTTTTATGAAATCTAGGTGGAAGAAGCTGTGGCTGTTCTAAAGGCTCATCAGGCCAAAGAAGCCTTGGCTGCAGTAGCTGTAGTTGGAGTTAAGAAGGAATAGATGGAACAGCAATGTTTAAAAGACAATGTAGCAGAACTTAGTGTATGAAAACCAACTGTTCATTTATTCGAATCCATCGAGTTGTACTTCTGAATGACTTATGGAACTGGCAATGTTTCTTGTGTGAAGGTGGTTCATGCTGCATTGTTTTGTAAACTTGGACCGATCCTTGTACTCTTCTCAGCTTTCAGCACTTTGCTTTATAATGATTAGTATGTAGTTGTGGGGAGTACTTACCTGGCTTTTGTTATATCACTGAAAAAAAAATTAATGATAAAAAAAATACAGTAAAAGTATGGAAAAAATACCCACGTGAACACCAAAAGTAGATGGCATAAATTACATAAATATATATATACGTATATTTATATACACAAAAATGGAAAAAAAAATAGTAAAATACAAAAAAAAAATTTTTCTTAATATTTTTTCTTTTGACTTTAATTTTTATGTATGCTTTGAAATAATGGGGTTGTAAATCACGTTGTTCTTTGCCTCAATAAAGGGTTGTTATGGTATGTAATCTCTTAGTTGATTTTGTCAAAGCATTGTTTAAAGTTTTGTTAGGACATTGGCTAATTAATACATATACACTATGTATTTTAAGTAAGAACATAATGTAATTTATTTTCATTTACAAATGTAGTACCTAGTGCATAAAACTGGTTAAAGAAAATTGTAGATGGATAAATTTTAACATAAATATAGTACTTGCCAGGGTGTGTTTGAAGGAAATGATCTTCTGAGAATGAAAAGTGTTTATCTTTTATTAATTATTGTTCATCAATTGGCCACTTTTAAAAGTACCAGGTAATCAGCTTCAAGGCAAGAGTTCTCGTTGTATTTAACTGTAGCAATTCAGTGAGGGTCCATGTGGGCAACAGTTTCAAAACTTCAAATTATTTTTGGGACCATGACTATTGGTTGGACTCAAATATTAAATATCAACAAAATGAAGACGATGGTTCCTCGAGAATCTGGGAAATCTCCCATAATATGCATCAAAGCAGAAGTTAAAATAATGGAATGAGTATAGGAGTCTTTTTTTTCTGGGCAAATATTGGTATTGATTGCAAGTGTGGAAAAAGAGTGTGGTGGATAGGTATGGTAAAAATAACATTCTTTATTCTCAAAGAATTTCTCAGAAGGAATGTCATAAAGATTCATTAAAAAAAAAAAAAGTTGTGTTTGGTCAGTCCTACCCTACGGATTGAAACGTTGACCCTTTCTGCTGGAAGAAAATGACATTGGGAAACATTTAAAGTAACACTGTAGACCACTGGTGAAGTCCAGTTAAGTGGATAGAAAAGCCACTGAAGTAATGAAACATGTAACAACAAGTGTCGGTTGTACGTAGGAAACAGAAGGTGCGCTGCTTTGGTAAGAAAGGTTGGCAGAGACTGATGGGTAAAATAGAAGGAAGAAAGATTGGAAGGTGTTCAGAGAGCTTTCTGGTTCGATGAAATTAGAAAATGGGGTTAAACATTAGAAACTGCAATTAAGAAAATTGGTGCAGGCAGGGGAGGAATGGAGAACCTATAGCCCTTGAACCTCAGAAGTAGGAAGACACTGACAGGGGGCTCCCAATAGTATAAAAGTTGCACAAAAATGTAAATTAACTATAATATCTATAGCATTTTTATCTCGTGGAATATTGCGGTTTGTTATACATTTTACAAATAAGATCATAACTTTTAGATCTTTGTACTTGATGTAAATAAACGAAAATATAAAATGCTCAATATGAAAGAAAAACTTATTTGAGGATTGGATTTAAGTACGATACTTTCTGATTAGGCTTCGATATAATTATTTTACACTCGTATGGACTACCAACCATGAAATGATACCCAGTTTAAAATCATATAATTATACAAAGTTTAACGGGTCGCAGATCATGGTAAGTACGTGTTTGATTTGAAACGAGTAAATTGAATATAACTGTTTTTTTTTTGCCTAATGTAAAATATTGCTCCGAGGTGACGCTGTTATAAAATAGAATGTTGCTTTGCTCTTTGGAAATGTAATTTAGTGATATTCATTATTTTGGTTTAATAGATAGGTTAACCAGACATGGGACATGATGGTGGGCAATACAAAAAACGAGGCCTAGGTAACTAATGATTGAATATTTGCTATCAATGCTATAAGTGTAGCTAACAGTTTTGATTTCATTCCTTTAAGTCGCACAATCCTATTTTTTTTCCCACACCTAAGTTGTTCTTAATTAGATATCACAATTTTTTTGTCAATACATTCCAACATTAAGCCTTAGGATACCTACCCTACTATTTGGAACATACCTATACTATATAGAATCAACCAGATTCTTTAAAATATATGGTGGTAGTTTCCTTAATAAAACAGTGTTAATAGCTTCCTTTATAGTAACACCATGGAATCTAGATTAACAGTTTCTTGTCATCACCCACATGCACTCGATTCAGCCGTACCGAGGTTCATAATTTACGCTAATTCCTTTATTTACGAGAATTTCATAAAATTTAGTAAATTTGTGCTTAAAAGTTGGCAACAAAAAAATGAATAATAACCGTCTGCTCGTATGATTTTATTGGAAACTTGAGCTAGAAACTGCTAATGTATGATAGTTTGCTTGGCCTAACCAATCTGCATGTGCTTTCAACCATACAGATTTGCTGCACTAAATCAGTCTTTTAATCCAAATGACCAAAACTAAAAACGTTTTAATTTTAGGTCAAGCTGTGGTAGAAATTTCGGATCGATATCTCACGTGACTTTTTGCGTCTGCAAAATTTTTTGAAAATTTTGAGCGGCTTTTGTTGAATAACTTCGCACTTGTGGCTTATATTTCGACCGAATTTGACATCTAATTGTAGGTCGTAAAGGTCTATCAGTGTACCACACTTGAAAAAAATCGTAAAAGTATGTTTTTTTTATCAAATAAAGTTTCTGAACTTTCGGTGCGAAGAAACAAATAGGAAAAAAATTTAATTATATATTTCGTATATTTATTTCTTAATGGATTGACTTAAAATTTGATATTGTTGTAGAGCACATTCGCTGGAAATATGTAATAGTTTGGATTACCATAATCCGATTTAAAGATAGTGGAAAATTGCTAAACTATCACTCCTGTTAATAACGCACAAAACACTATCGTGTTTCTTGATAGTAGTAAACTTGTGTACATAGGCTAGAGGTTAGACAGAATACTTTGTATCTAGCTTTGTTCATATCAGCTGCAAGTGCTGCCAGACGTTCGTGTTTGTTTTTTTTTTTTTGTGCTAATGTTAGTGCTTTCCCCAGCTGGATTTCACCACGAAGTACAGTTTTTGTTTTTGAATTTCGTGCAAAGCTACACGAGGGCTGTCTGCGCTAGCCGTCCCTAATTTAGCAGTGTAAAACGAGAGGGAAGGCAGCTATTCATCACCACTCGCTGCAAACTCTTGGGCTACTTACTGTTTTATCCAATGAATAGTTTGATTGGCCGTCACCTTATAACGCCCCCACGGCTAAAAGGGCGAGCATGTTTGGTGGGACGGGGATTCGAACCCGCGACCCTCAGATTACGAGTCGAGCGCCCTGGCCATGCCGGGCCGTTTTCTTAATGTATTAAGTTCATCCCTGTAAAGTTTTATTGATGGTGGAACATACGTTGTCCAGTCTTTTTACTCGGATATCAAGCAGCAAGTACCTGTAGCAACCTTGTGATACTGAACCTCAAGCGAAATGTAGCGTGCTTTTTATGTGCAGTAATGTACTCTCCTCCTCCTTCAATTCTGCAAGAGTTTCCTACAATGATTCACAGTGCTATCTGGAAAGTCTAACACCAACTGTGTAGGAGGAAAGAAAGGACTGTGCTATTTGGACAAATTACATTTGTCAAATAGTTTAAACTTTAACGTATTTGGATCCCCAGGACTTCGTGGTAGTGTAAAATAGTTGTAATTTCTATGTTATTTTGTTGTATATATATATATATGCTATTATAAATAAATACTACTTGAAATGGAAAAATACTAAAACTAGAAACCAACTCACTTTTATTAACCGAATAGTGACATAGGCGGTTTTGTAAACATACAGAGCTTGTGATTTAGAAAATTAGCAAAACTCACCTGTACACGTTTCAGCTTGAACCAAAGATTTTTCTTGCGCTTATGAACTCGGTTGTAAGAAGTTCGGCTATTTTACACACAGCAGGTAACAATGGTGCAGAACTTCCGGGAAGAGCGGATCCCGAACGTAATATTTTTGTCAGAATTTAAGATATATTTCCAGTTTTAAAAATAAAAGGCTTTTACTTATACTTCTTAATGCTATAAATATATACTGTGTTATTGTTGGGCTTGGGATTCTTCTACAGTAGGTGTCTGACCTGTTGATGATAAATGAACAGCACGCACTTCACTTGTTTTCAAAATAATATACAGATATATATATATATATATTCGAAACAAGTTAAACGTATGTACAACAAATTCTTCACATTAGAGAGATTATAGGCATTACACGCATATATATAGTTCTCTTCTTGTCAAAAGTCCACTTAGGCCTATTCAGTTATTTTAGAATTTTAGTTGACAAGCCGAACTATCTTCTATATTACTATCGCACTAGTATTCTGTGTGTGTGATTCACTTACAATTGTGGCGTGACTCACTGTAATCGTTTGGTCTTCTAAATATCCTCTGTTCCTTTTGTCAAAGTGAACTCAGGCTGATTCAATTACCTCAGAACCACGTTTTGACGGAATAATTGTTTTTTCTTATCTCCTTTTCTACTGTTAATCTTACTCTAACATATTAAACGTTAGGTCTATTACTTCTGTGATAGTTAACTTCACACCGAACTCTTCCTTACCAATAACGTTACTCTCTTTTGTTATTGCCTGTCTGCTGTTTTCGCTCGTCTCACACTATTTATATCTTTATCACTTAGTCGTCTGGCTTTTTAGAAATATCTTTTTTTTTTCTCTACGTCAATGTATTGCACGCGACGTTCGATAGCCTCAACACCAATGAATTATAAACACGACTTCCAATAATCGTCTACTTTTATTCTATTATTTAAAAACAAAAAATAAACAATCGTGAAACATTAACTCGCAAAATAATTAATTAATAATGCCTACATTAAACAGTCTTTATATCATGACACTGGTACAGATAGATTTTGATTAAAGTATCGATAAGTTTGTTAAATACACTGTCGGTGTGAACGTGCTTTGTAGTCACTATTCTCCGAAATGTGTAGATTGAACTGGACCTCTCTTGAACTTAGACTTCGAGATTTAACAATTTTCGGAACACTAAGTTTATTTATTATAATAAATGATTCGTGGCTGCAGTGTCCTCTGTTAAGTGTACTCGTAATGTTGATTATATTTCGAAAATAACATTGCATGTAACATAAAAATTAAGGACAATAATAGTTGGGTCCTGTAGTCGGTCTAGACTGTCCCACTCTATAAACTAAGCTATATAAAAACTCGAAGACAACTGTTAACGTTTAAATATTTATGAAACCTTATCTCAAATTTACTGAAACTACCGCATATAAACGCAATAAATTCCAAAGACCAATCATTCCATTGGAAAGATTGAAATTAAAATCGTATGGATTTTACATACTTTAGTAAAACTTCAATTCTATTATTACAAACAATCAATCAAAAGAATAATATTAGGTACTAAAATAGTTGGGCAACTTTCGAGCGTTTTTATTATACTCAAAAACATTAAACCGCTGTTTTGGGGAAACGTGTTTGTTCGCAAAGGGCGCTGGTGGTGTTTAGTGGACAGAGTTGTAATGACTAAGTGTCGTGTTTTCCAGAACTCTCAAGAAAATATTAGTGTAACAAATTGAGTTGTAGAATATTTCTATCTTAGTGTGAGAAATGTAACATCATTAATATCGAGTAGTTATATACAGATGAATGATTAACAGTAAGCCGAATATTTGTGTAATAATGTATGTTAGTTTTATTGTATGATTTAGGTAAGTTGCCGTTTTTCTTCACTATATTATACACCGACTCGTAACAACATGTAGTGATGATGATGTACAATTTAACATCTAACACTTCGTATAATTTAGAAACAGTACAGAAATTTTATTACTATTCAAAGTTAGGCTTGACGCTTTACCGGTTTTTACTTGAATTAAAATTAAGTTACGATCGACAAATGATTCTCATTGTAACTTGTAATCACTTGGGCATAAATTTTATGTTGTGCAATTTGACAAAACTTTTTCATGCTCTAACAGTAATATTACTTATTTATAGAATTAAACATAAGAGTTAAAGTACTTGATAAATTGTAATAATTACTAAGCCTAAACATAACCAGTAAAAGTAGGCCTATTGATATTACCCGATTCTGTCAGACTGAGTGAATGAATCCCAGTTATCTTAATAAAATACTAAAGTAATAGTAATATGTCCATTTGAGTATACAAATTATTATTATTAATTGTGTTGTGGGGTAACATTGTTTTTTTGCTTTAATTAAAAAAATTCTTTTGTAATCAAAATTTCACGGTTTGTGAATTGGTATGTATGAATGGTAGTACTAACTACTATTGCTATACATAAGTTTAACATTGAAGAGAGCAACAGTAAGTAATGGGTAACATTGGTGTCATACTCTTGAATGAAAGTATTCATTTGATGTTTTTACTACATTGATACCACTCTGGAATATATATTATTTCCCTTGTTACAATTAGACCAAGTCGTGTATTCCATTCTGGCTTGGAACTTTTAATTATTTTAACATATTATACACAAAACTTGGTGAGTCATCATGGGCATACCATACAATATGAAAAAAAAAAAAATTTTTTCATGCAGTAAATTTCAAGTGTTCATTAGATATTGAGGAAGTTTTAAATGTTAAACTAGGAGAAAGATGGTGAAGCTTATGTGCTGAGATGATTGTGTAAAATAATAACTTTTTGTACAACTCTTAAAAAAATGAATAAAGGATCACTTGGTTTTGTGAAAGGAATTTTCTAACCCTTATTTTATGTTTTTTTTTATATATATCAGCCCTACTTGTAAAACTATATAAAATTATTTCCAGCATTACAAATATCACTATTTGTAAACATTTTAGATCGAGGTTGTTGTTAAATTTATTATTTTATTTACAGGCAAGAAAATAAAGATGTACAAGGATGTGTATAAACTGAAATTACATCCAAGTTGATTTATGCTTGAATGTTGTATATCAAAAATGAATGAATTAAAAAAGAGCCTGATCACCACTGTCACATTAACCTATGAATAGATGCCTACCTAGAGTTTAGTACAATGTTAACACAAAGAAAACTTGGTATTTCTAATCAGGTAAGCAGCATGTATTACTGTGCCTTTAGGTTTCTATTTCTAATATTCTCTAGACATTCAGTGTTTACCATTTGCTACAAACAATATATTCGGTTATATTTATCATTTGTGATAAAAATCATGTAAACAGCACATTTATCACAGTTATGAGATGTATCGGTTTCTAATGTTTAATTCATTTTTTTATTGTTTAAGACTTCCATCTAGCAAGTTTCTAACCTATTGATAGTGCATTCAAATATGTCATGAAGTTTGATAAGTGATGTGGTAAAAACAACTGTTACCAGTCTGGGTGTTCCATATATTTGTTTTACAAAGATGTAGAAGGGTGGATTTAGAAACATTATTTATCTCAGAAACTTCGTATTTATTTTATGTACCATCTAATGTACAAGTGTTATTTTTTACATTGAATATATATATATATATATAAAACATGAGTAATTAGTATTTTTGTAGTTTGTTAGACATAATATTTAATTTGCATATCAAAAACTTCAACAAGCATTTAATTTAATACTGTGTAGTTGTTAAGCTCTAGTACCGAGCAAAAGGTCAAGTCAGTAGTGACCAGCTACAAAATTATCAATATTATTGTAATAATATGTTATTTTTCCAACAGAAGGCTTTTAAGATTTGCATAGCAAATGTATGTAAATAATGTTTATCATTTTTAATGTTCAGAACCTTGTACCTTTATTATTAACATTTTAAGCCTCAAATTCGTGACTCCACCATTCTAAAATCCCTAAACAATTTTTGTCTTCAAATCCAATTGTAATGATTATCATCATATAATTTTTATATTTTTTCTATAACCACCACAAAAACTGATTTTGATACAACATCCAAACTGGTACGTATTACTATTTTTGGTGTAAACTTGACCAGATACTTAAGATAATTTAATGTAAATTTGTGCAGTACCATAATTCTTTCAGAACAGATCAAATGTTTTTGAGTTTTTTTTGTTCCAATGTTGGTGGATCACATATTCTATAGGTTCTTCAAAACATAGAGATAGCAACAGAAGTTTTAATTTCAAAAACTAAACATTTTCTTAAGTATATGCATCCTACAAGTTTCATAACATAAGCTACATGCTGGAACAAATCCCTTCCTCCGCGAGACACCAACTGATGGAGGAGGGCATGTGTTTAATCTTAAGTAATAACTTTGATTTTTACTTGCATCTAGTTCACACTATGTCATAATAATATCGGTGTTTTCTAGTTTCCCAAGTTGTACTAAGTTTCATTATCTTATTTCATTTTCAGAACTGCTGTTACTACTTTACGAAAGGATCCATGAAGAAAATGTTATTTCTGCTTGCTTTGCTTCAAGGAGTTTTGGTATGGTACTTGTATCGCGGGGAGAAGGTCATTTCATCTTCGGTCTTTTCTGATCGCGAGCCCACTAGGCCTGTTCGTGAATACGCGTTTCAGGGTTTTCATCAGTCAGGTCTCTTTCACATACCACTGACCTATCAAGAAGACATGAACTCCTTCTATGCTGAAGTGGCTAAAGATGTTTGGTGTTTTGTCAGAGGACTGGATCTAGCCAGCTCTCAAAAACAGCATAGCTGCATTTGCCTGACTGGTTGGTATGGTTTAGACTGTGGTCTTCCACAGGCTGTTTGGAGCTCAGAGTTCCTAATGAATGGAAACAAACCAGGGGTTTGGATCAAGAGGAGGGGTCGACCTAGGAGATTAATCAATGGTGTTGTCTTTACAATGGACTTTGATCTTTTGGAGATACGGATAAATGAGCTGAATAATTCAGTGGATGCTTTCCTTGTGGCAGAACAGAATTGTTCTACCACGAGAGATGAAACATCTTTACCCCTGTTATCTAAACTGCAACAGGGCTTCCTTAAGGAATTCCAACATAAAATAATTTATGTTTCTATTGGTGATATTAGTTTGCAGAAGTTTGAAGCTGTGGAAGATCATGAATGGGAGCATACAGCACAGGTGGACATGTGGAGAAATGGCATCCAGATGTTAACAGACTTTCGGCCTGATGACATGTTTGTCTTTTCTAAAATGTCAGACATTCCCTCAGGTGACGTGCTTCTATTTTTTAAGCTCTATGATGGCTTTTCAGAGCCAGTTGGCTTTCACTTGAGGTCCGTAATGTATAATTTTGCATTAAAGGAACCTCTGTCTAGTTACAATAATAACAGCAATAACATTATGTTAATTGCATGTTCCTTTGCATTTTTCAGTTCTCTTTGTGATTACAATGTAAATGATTTGCAAGAAAGCACATGGAAACAGTCACAACACCTAGCAAAATTTGAGAGCAACTTTGGGAAGGTAAACTACTGGAAAGTTGGATCTTTAAAGGCACCTGCTGGTTGGAGTTGCCGATGGTGTCTCCGGCCACTTGATCTTGGAAAAGCTTTGGCTGACCAAAAGTGTCCAAACAAACCAATAGGTGTTCATGTGGCCAATAGCTTATTAAAAGATAATAACTCGCTTGCTTTGGAGATGTTTATCAAGAGAGGAATGTCACTGGATATGTCTTTCGTTGGTCATCGAGTATTTCAACCAGAAAATGGTCATCATTATGCTCCTTCTTACATTCTTCTGAACAAGAAGAAGTTTGATTTCCTTTTGGGAGAGTGTTATGGATCAGATACTTTAAGGAATGAAACTCTGAATAAAAGTTAAGTTATTGTTTGTCATGCATCTGAAGTTAGTGACTAATTTATTAAACATGTATGTAAATTTGAAAGTGTTGACAGATTTAATTAACAAATTGAAATGCAAGTCAGATGGCATCACAGTACAGGTTAGTGTATTAACACATATTTAACACTGTAAGTAAATGAGGCTTTGCTCTATATCTGATTATGATGCTATGGGAGACACTAACTACAGATACATGAGGTGACATGAACTTTAAGAATAACTATAATCAATACTGGTTGGTAAGCTTTTTCATGACTATTTTGTAAAGCCAATTAAGGTAGTAACTGCAGCTCATAACTTGTGAAAACAAGTTTCTGATGTCTAGTAATATGTTTTATAAAAACAGTTGTCATAGAACTAGCCCCTATGGTCTGGCGATACTCAGAACCAAGCTTGAACGGGTGAGAGCACGTTTAAGTGGAGTGAACGAGACCTCAGTGTAATTGGGCCATCTCCTCGATCTCAAGAATGAAATCTTACATTGAATAATTAAGAGTGACCAGGTCATCTAGGAACTGGTTTTGAATTGTGCATATTTACGTTACGTACAGTCTAAATTTGGAGGAAGGTGATTATTATTGTATCCGTTTCTCTGCACTAGCAGCCAGTAGGTTAATATAATTAAGTTAAACAAATTTAGTGGAAAAAGTTTTCCCATAGCTCTGTGTGAATGTATACTTATGTGATTTTACTGATTTTAAGTTTTGAATGAAACTTATTCTGTGGTGTGATTCAGATTTTCCATATTACATGTACAAACACAAAATCTTAATACATTGTTTTCGTTTGTTTCTTGGACAGTTGTTTACTCTGTAATGATTAATGGGATTTATATAATCAGTACGCCGAGTGATTAGCTACATTGATTAGTATGTCATAAAATTATGATAATTGTCACAGAAATAATCAACTAATTGAAATTAGTGTTTGATTATTCTAACCCTTCAAATAATTGAAATGTTGCCCTTATGATTTCTCATGTTGTTTCAGTCAATTAGTGCGATAGCTAACAAAGATAAGTGTCAATGTAACATTTTGCAAATTCAAAATACCTTTTTTTTGGCTCACTTTACACTGGAATATTGTGTACAAAATAATTTATACCCATGATGATGTTATTTTCCTCTACCTCTAACAAGTAAAGTGACATGTACTGGTAAGTTTGCTGTCATTTTGTACGGTGATAACTCACCTAAAGTATTCATTGCCTAGATGTAGTTGTGTTTTTTTATGTTCACTGCCACTCGTTATAGTTGTCTTCCTATAAGATCTTAGACTCAATTCCCTGAACTAAGCGTACATAACTTATGCTGACCTGTACTTAACAGTAATCCCACTAGTTAGGGGCATGTATGTGTTATTAATAATCTGTTTTAGGAAGAAACTTGTGGAACAGTATTAATCATATTTTCTGCATGTTTAATACAACATTGATTACATGATACATTTTCATGTACAACAGTTTAGGATTAAAAAAGCAACTTAATCTTATATTGTTGTAACTGAATATGTCTGTCTAATTAAACAAAGATTAGTTGAGTGTAAATGATTAGTGAGCCTGACAATTAATAGATTAACACTAATCACCCAGCTCTATTCCACAGTCTAGTAATGTGTTTCTTTGACCAATCTGTTTAACTGTTATCAAGCTAGATCATCAAGTGGTCAGTTACCATGAGAACTTGGTATACAAGGTATGTAGTTTGGAGGATTATTGAGGAGACAGGCTATCGGAGAGTTTTAACTGTGATATTTGGGTTATCAAATAAGTCTGATTTCCCTGCCGAATTACTTGATTATTGATATATCATCACACAGATAGCTGTTCACAGAAATCAAGAGGGTTGAAATCATATTAATCATACATTGATTTAGTAGTTCACAATTAATAAAATAACCACTGTGTGTTTGATGCCTGGAATGGCCAGGTGGTTAGGGCTCTCAACTCGCAATTTGCAGGTTTGAATCCCAGTCCCACCAAACATGCTCATCCTTTCATCTGTGAGGGTGTTATAATGTGACAGTCAATCCCACTATTCATTGGTAAAACAGTAGCCCAAGAGTTGGCAGTGGGTGGTGATGGCAAGTGCAGATAGCCCTTGTGTAGCTTTGTATGAAATTGATAGGAAACCAAACTTCAAGTGTTGTGATATGTATTTTTAACATTTTACCCCTAGGATTGTTGATAAAGTTTGTCAAGTTCTTAGTCTAATTCCAATGTATGCTGTTAACGTAAACAACGTTGTGTGGGATGTGTTAAAATAATATTGTAAATGTGGGAGTGTTCTCACATGTGCTGTAGATAGAAAAGAATAATTTGTGATTTTTAGTTTGATGTTCAAACAACAAGAAAACTTATTAGTATTAGCTAATGCTAACATAAGAGCATTAAATTTGAAGTGGTTTTAATTTTGTTGAATTATATTGAAGTATTAATAATTAGTTAATGTTAGAAAAACTAATACTCTGTTAATTAATTATAGTGTTAATTTTGTTGTTACTTTATTTTTAAATATATATACATGTATGTATTTATTTTTGTGTGTGTGGAATACATGGACATCCAGGCTTACACGTACATTTTAGGACTTTTGCCTCTGCAGAAATAGAGCCGAGAGATTTAATTAATCAGTACATTTGAGCACCTATGAGCAGTGATTACACTGACTAACACCACCTATACTAACAGATTTTACAAAATGATTAAATCAATAAATTAAAATTAGTGTTTTCAAATTTTCTAACAACTGATTAATCGAAATTCCAATTGTCACAAAAATAAACTAACCAAAATTAGGGTTTCTCATCTTTGGTGATTCGAAACGATTGGGTTCAATTTCCAATTACCACCAAAATTGCTTGCCTAAGTCTACTTCTAACATTGTTGTTATAAGAGCCAAACCACTAACATACATTCAGACTTGTGCTTCCTTAGAAACATAGCCTGATAACTTTACCACAGTCTGCTTCTGACATTGTTGTTATAAGACCCAAACCACTAACATACATTCAGACTTGTGTTTCCTTAGAAACATAGCATGATAAATTTACCACAGTCTACTTCTGACATTGTTGTTATAAGAGCCAAACCACTAACATACATTCAGACTTGTGCTTCCTTAGAAACATAGCCTGATAATTTCGTGTTTGCTTTTAGTGTAGTTATTACTACAGCCAAATTTTCACTACATATGTTTGAATAGGTTGTTTAATCACACCTTCATCACTGTTACACCTTTTCCATCATGAAACTGACTGTTAATTGTTTAGCACTCTAGAGTTTGTGTTCATTCAGTTTTCCTATTGATTAATGAATCTCCTGACAGTGTGGATTTCTTGATCCCACTTGTTTTACACATCCCGTAATAACCGAGTTTCTTAACTGAATATTTTGATATGTTACTTGTATTTAGTTCTGTGCATATAAATTTGGAGATTTTCTTTTCACATTCATCTTGTTGTTTTGTTAGTAGTAATAAACTTTTACTATCTGCAGTTTCATGGTGTTTCTTTTTCTTTTTAAATTCAAACAATTTTTACTTCCAGTAATGATAAAGTCACTTCAACAATTAAGTATTGGTCCTGCTATACAAAAACTTAAAGATCATAGAATATCATTTGACATCAGGATCTAGTATAATACCTTTGAAATATCTTCGATCCATCATTCAATTCAACACTTGTCGCCAAGTTATACCAGTTTCAGAGGGAAGTAAAAACAAGACTAGGTTTCTTATAGTGGTGAACTGTAAAATAAGGTCACTATGGTGATTAAACAGAACAAAAAAATACCATATCACAATAGTATATTTGCAAACAGCCTGCCTTTTAAAACCAAATTTTGCAGTTTGTCATTTATAACTCCCAATTCAGGTGGGAAACATTTTGTCTGAGGATGGGTGGATTTTCTATCACAATATTTTAAGGCTATTTTGTTTGTATATTATTATCTCACAGAAAATAAATAAATGAATTTAAGTTATACATCTTTTATGTATCAAGTTTGGTAAAAGAATTGCGTGTAACGACATAACAGGAGGAGAAACTAGAGTCCGGCCATGACAGTAATAACAAAAAGCACCCTTTTTTTTAAGTTTTTAATATATACTTTCGTAAAATCCTGCTCATTGCTGAAGAGGTATTGGTTTCTTGTTTAATAGGTTTAACTTGTATCCTGTAAATGTAGTTGTTATTAAGATATTTCAAAAACAGTTTAACATGTTCCTGCTCTTAAACATTCCAGTATAAAGTTTACTGTTGATTAAACTAGTAATCTTAAGTTATCACTTCTTGATCTCAAAATTACTACGTCTAGCAGACATTTGGGAGTATGTATTTACTATAAACCTACGTAGACAAGTTTGCGTACACATTTATGTACATTTACACCTACCAGCTATAAATTAAATTCATTAACAATTACTGAACTTATCACATTGCAAGTACATACTGTTGCATATCTGCTTGTTTGTTAATTTCCTGTAGAAATTCTTTCCGAGAAACTTCAGCGATACAAGTCCTTTCTTAATTAAGACTAGTTTATTCTTTCTCGATACAAACTTGGTAATACACTTAACTTTTATAATACACGCTATAAATCACCATGATTCACACACTTTACTTACTGTGCCTACTGCTCACTTGACTCAATTATCTATCTATCTGCCTTCTGCTTTATTTGCCAGGCTTATATACTAAAAAAGAGGGTGCCTGAAACAGACTAGAGTTGCCAGGACAATTCAAGATCCTTCGAAAATCTCATGACGTGTAACCAGCGTCACGTGACTTCCGCTGTCGTAACAATACCATTATTTTCAAAACCGGAGGATTAAACTTAAAATCGGTTACAGTTGAATTGGTCAATAATACGATTAAAAAGTTTCCATGGAAAGTGTGATACGATGTATCAAAACTTTTGTTATAACATTAGTATACCCTACATGGGTAAGAACAGTTATGAGTTGAAAAATAAGATTTAACAAATTATAAATAAATATTATCTTCAGATATCTATACAGGTTGTTTTAAAATCTACACTATGAAAAGAGATTTTTTTTTTAAATTCAAGGATGTGATTGGCAGATTTTAACACTTATGTTGTTTATCGTCTTGTTGAGGTTATGTTTGTTCTATAAGTTGTCACTTGGAACAACACTATACGGAACATCTATTATCAACTTGAGCTACAGTAACCCAAATAATCCCGTTTTTATATTCTAACACTAACTGTTTCCTTCATTAATGCCTTAAAACGTTCTAACTTAAAAATTCATCAAACTAAAAAGGTTGGATGTTGCTATGAATTGTAGGATGGATTTTTGAGAAATGGATACACTCAATCCCACATAATGAGAGTGGGTAATGGAGGATGTGTCCTATGGTGTAGAGTGGCTAGGTCGCATTGGACCGTACTTGGTAAGTCAACTACATCCAAAACTACACTTGCTAGGTACCGACGTCCACGCGAGGGTAGGATGAGGATCGAACTGTCTTCACCTCAAGCCTTACAGTTGTGGATGTACATAGACTCCATGAAACGTCACAGGATAAGCACTGAGTTAGGAACCCGGAAATGTGTCATTTGGTATCTGAGGGACCTCTATAGCATGCAATCAACCCCCATAACTATGAAACTAGTCCAAAACGTCCACAAGTCTGTAACATCCTTGTCATTTTGAGAACGAGGGAGTATGTAGGACAGAAGTGGAAATAGGCCACGTAGACCTCCTGCAGCCCAAATACAGAAGCCAGGGGGGGGGGGGAGGAAGAGATAGACGACCCAAAACCTGTATGAGGACTTATGTGATTGGTTCACTCGAACTCCAAAACCTCACTCACTGGGAATCAACATCCACGTGTGGGTAGGAGGAGGGCACCCAATCGGAGGGGTGAACTGCATTTAGGCATCTCTCTCCAGGTATGTGTTCCTCATTCAGAAGATCTTGTAACTCCTTCCACACTGGCAGAACACCATCACCCTACTCTAAACTGAATGGTTATAGCCAAATTTGTGGAAGTCATTCTGCAGGTTGCCTTCATAGTCAACCACCCTAGTGGCTTGGATGTGTGATTGGTAAGGATTCTCGTACTCCACTGGAAGAAGGGGAGGGGGAAAAGTGTATTGGAGAGACCGTTACACTCGAGACAGAACATAGACTTATTCAATCCATGCATGGTAGGAATGGGCAGTGTTCCCCTTCTACTTTACCCATGCCATCTATGAATGGTACAGTCTGGGGTGGGCATTTTTATGAAGCAAAAATCACGAGGTTATTCACACTGTAGTGATCATGTGAAACACTCCATCTCAAGGGAAAACGTGCATAGCCATGAACAAAGTGTGTGAATCAACATGGTGTACAGTGCAGATTTGTGTTTTTGTTTGTTTGAGTAGAAATATATCTGAGAATGGAACCCATTCAGTGTCCAGAAAGAATAACTGGTCAGGCACCACTCGCCACAGGGCAGGATCCAAAGTGAAATTGAAGCAAGGGCTCCTAAAAGAAAAGAAAGCACAAGTAAGGACCTACCTCGTGTCAAAGCTGCACCAAAGTCTGTAGAATGGTGACAGGCGATACTCCGAGGAAGCAGACTTGAAAGAAGACTTTATATTGCTTGTAAGTTTGTAAAACTTTTGTATATAAATCATTATTTGTAATAACTGTTATAGTAAATTGTATTACTGGTTGTATATTAAAAAAGAAAAATCTTGTTGGCAAAATTGGATATATATCGGCATTTATTTAACTACTAAATCTAAAGTACAGTTTAACTCAGTTTTAGGCTATCTGAAATTGTAATAGGTAACACCATGAAGAGCCTCAGACAGGAAGAGGTGAAGTTACAAAGAGCGTCAGAGGAAGACCAAGGCGGGAAAACGGGACAAAGGTAGGATGAACAGAAAAATTGGTACCCGTATTCTCAAACAGGTAAAACTGAACCCACAACTGGTGGT